CCACCTTCCCCGGGTTCGGGGGGAATTCCCGATTCGGGGAGAAATCCCGGCCTTGGGGGGAGGGGGCCCCGGCCTCGGAGGGAGAAGGGGCCCCTTCCGGGGGGGAGGCATTGGTGGGGTAGGCAGCATTCGTGTGTAACAAGCATGGTGTGTAGCAGCCTCGGAGTGTACCCCCTCCCCGTAGCGCGAGGGGCCGAGGCGAAGACGCGGGCCGCCGTGCCTCCGAACCGCGCTTCCGCCTTCTCGCTCTTGAGGCCGTCCGCCCACGTCACGCGGCAGCGGCCGGCCCCGCTCGAGAGGACGGCGAACAGCTGCCACCTCGCACCGGCCCGCCCGCACGAGAACAGGCCTCTCGCAGCCGTACCCGCTCACTGCAGCCATCTCCTCGCCGCCTCGCGGCGCCACCAGACCAAGCAGCGTCGCCGTGGCTCGGCCGTCGACGAGTACGTCGCACGTGCGGGCCGCCCGCTCGAAGGCTGGCCACCGCCGCTCCGCCCACGCCTGCAGCGAGCCGGAGAGGTGGGCAGAGATGGGGAGGGATGGGGAGAGGTGGGGGGAGACGGGGAGGGATGGGGAGGGATGGGGAGAGATGGAGAGAGATGGGGAGAGATGCCCACGCCTGCAGCGCGCCGGCGCCGCGCTCCTCTTCACTGCCTCCTCCCTCACCGCCTCCCTCACCGCCTCCCTCCCCGCCTCCTCCCTCACCGCCTCCTCCCTCACCGCCTCGCCCGCCTGCCGAGCAACACGCCGGTGGTGAGCGCCTCCTCCCTCCTCCCAACGCACCCCCCCTCGCCCTCGCTGTATATGTGTGTATGCCTCTCGGATGCGTGCCCTTGCGCAGCGGCTCCGGCTGCCGCGCCAAAGAGCTGCACCGCAGGGGCTGGCGCAGCAGGGGTTGGCGCAGCAGGGGCTGGCAGAGCAGGGACTGGCGCTCGAGCTCCGAAGGGAGAGCCATCAGCTCCACCAGTTGAGGCGTCGGCGCGAGCTCGACGCTCGCACCGGCGCCAGCGTCCGTGTCGGCCTCCGTCGCCGGCGCGAGGCGCGAGCGCGGCACGGGCACCACCTGGGGGCACACCAGAGGGCGTGCCGTGGGCGTGTCGTGGGCGTGTCGTGGGCGTGTCGTGGGCGTGTCGTGGGCGTGTCGAGGACGTGTCGTGGGCGTGTCGTGGGCGTGTCGTGGGCGTGTCGTGGGCGTGTCGTGGGCGTGTCGTGGGCGTGTCGTGGGCGTGTCGTGGGCGTGCCGTGGGCGTGCCGTGGGCGTGTCGTGGGCGTGTCGTGGGCGTGTCGTGGGCGTGTCGTGGGCGTGTCGTGGGCGTGTCGTGGGCGTGTCGTGGGCGTGTCGTGGGCGTGTCGTGGGCGTGTCGTGGTCGTGTCGTGGGCGTGTCGTGGGCGTGCCGTGGGCGTGCCGTGTGCACGACCTGCCGGTTGGCGAGCTGGACGTAGTCGAGGTGAGGCCGGCCCTGGACGAGAGCGACGGCGCGGCACCGCTCCCCTCCGAAGGGGCCCTCCTCGATCTCGAGCTCTCGAGCCTCCCCCCCCTCCCCCTCCC